GTAGTGTCTGTAGAGGGAAACTTTAAACATATACACGTAGTGTCTGTAGAGGGAAACTTTAAACATATACACGTAGTGTCTGTAGAGGGAAACTTTAAACATATACACGTAGTGTCTGTAGAGGGAAGACTTTAAACATATACACGTAGTGTCTGTAGAGGGAAACTTTAAACATATACACGTAGTGTCTGTAGAGGGAGACTTTAAACATATACACGTAGTGTCTGTAGAGGGAAACTTTAAACATATACACGTCTCTGTTGAGGGATACTTTAAACATATACACGTAGTGTCTGTAGAGGGAGACTTTAAACATATACACATAGTGTCTGTAGAGGGAATCTCAAACCTAAGTATTATTTTTAGTAACGGGGTATTTCGAATGCTTGTTCCAGAATTGCAGTTCGAAACATATCTCAAGTACATTTAATTCTTTTAAAATTTGAAACAAATGTGAAGGAAGACTCTTCACCGGAGTTTAACAACAACATGACGTATATCTGAAACAACTTTATGTCTAAATCTTGAAAGGTCTTGTTTCTTATCTCCATCGACAATACAATATAGAAACGTACTTACAGTGAGTTGAAGATAAAATCCAAACACTTCCGTTCAAAGCGTTGCTACGAAACAGACGGTTTGGCTGAATTTTTTGTATTACCTTTCACTCGGGTTTCTAATCTGCTTGTTTCATGAAAAATAACCAACTATACTGGTAACCTAAGGTTTGAGTAGTTTTTTTTGTCTTCTATTACTGACGTTTTACCGTAAAATCAAACTTACGTTTTAAAACTTTTCTAAACAGGGTCTAGTTTTAAAATATGTTGGCAGAAGCAGCTTATCTTTCGCTACTTCAGGCAAATATGTTTTTGAATTCTATAAGGTTTTTCTTTTGCTTCTCTCCAAAGCAGAAAAGAATAAGATACACGGAATAAGTTAAGGATGAAACACACGAGAGGTTTCACAGGTTCAATTCTGTATCACGATCTATCATCTAACAGAAAACTTATAGTTATTCAGGTTTCTTTTCCATCAATTAGGAGCACAGAATTTCAAACTAAGATCGATGTTTTGTTTTCAAATCGGGATTTTATTCTCTGATCGAATATTTATAGGAACGTTTAGTTCATAACAAACACCGTCTGTCTTTTTTTTTCGTCTGTGTGACAAAGTGCCCCCACATATCGATGAAACACTCACGAGTAAAGACACTGACGTCAGAGAAGGAGACGATGTTAGCCTACAATGTAGGGCTTCGGGATCTCCCGAACCAGAAACTACCTGGCGACGAGAGGATGGACAACACATTGCATTAGGTAGTGAAAAAGGTCAGTTGTGTTAAAGTGTTAATTAAAAATGGAAAACGCAACGACAGGATTGTTAATATAAGTATCATATATGAAATGTATTTTTGGATACTCAAATGAAATATTAATTTTGACGCAGGAGAACATTACATACTTGTGAGATAAAATACAAACATACTAACAGGTTTTCGATTTTTTTTGAAAAACAACATATTTAACTGTTCTTTATCGACTTATTTAGTTATCATTTCTGTATATATGTTCTGTTATTTTCTCTAAAGATTAAGTAAAATTAAGGACATTTTTAACACAGCGCTTTAACTTTAATATAATATGACAGAGGCGTTGCTAGGCGCTGGGTCAAGGGGTCCGTGCTCCGATTATATTTGGCATTGCCCCGAATCCATTCGGTATTCAGAATAGAAACAAATCATCGTTATCATACTGAAAATTCCCGTCAGTTCGGACCCGAATCCCGATTCTTTTAAGAGCCTAGCAACGACTCTGTAATATGGGAATGTTTTTTCCGCAGGAATTAAGACTGACAATCACAATAAATTTTCCCATTTGTTACGAAGATTGGCATCTACGACAACGCTTTCTCATTTGCTACTAAAAACTAGTTACCATGTAGACGTTTCCTCTCTTATTACTAGGACTGGTGCTCAAGATAGTGTTTTTTTACTTTGTAATAAGACTGGTAACCATGACAACGTTTTTCATCTGCAATGAGATTAGTAACCATAACAACGTTTCTCACTTGTAATAAGACTGGTAACCATGACACTATTTTCTCACTTGTTATAAGACTAGTAACCATAACAACGTTTTCTCGCTTGTTATAAGACGGGTAACCATGACAATGTTTTATCACTTGTTACCAATAATGGTAACACTGACAATGTTTTATCACTTGTTTTAAGACTGGTAACCATGACAATGTTTTCTCATCTGTTATAAGACGGGTAACCATGACAATGTTTTATCACTTGTTACCAATAATAGTAACCATGGCAACGTTTTCTTTCAAGTACCTTCCGTGAGCGGTAATTACCTGAATATAAGTAAGGTCAGCAGACTACATATGGGAGCTTATCTCTGTATCGCTACCAATGGAATCCCTCCAGCCGTCAGTAAAAGGATATTCCTTGGAATAAATTGTAAGTAATTTTCTCTCTCTCTCATTATTTTCCTTCACTCTCTCTATTTTTTCTTTTTGATTTGCAAAATATCTATTTTTTTATTATTGTGACTTATCTTCATATACATACGATAATTTATCCCATATCTATGAAAGTTGATACAACTTTTTAATTACAATTCGCCATCTAGTGCAAACAAAGTTAACCACTTTTAACACGTGCAATAACAGTATGTTAATCTAGGGTGTTTGTGCCCCAGTTTGTCAGCAGTAAGTTTGTGGATATACAACGCTAAAATCTGGGGTTCACTTTCCAATGTTTACCTGTTTATAACCCAAGAATGTGTCCTGTATTCTATATATTAATGTTTACCTGTTTATAACCCAAGAATGTGTCCTGTATTCTATATATTAATGTTTACCTGTTTATAACCCAAGAATGTGTCATGTATTCTATATATTAATATTTACCTGTTTATAACCCAAGAATGTGTCTCGTATTCTAGATACCAATATTTACCTGTTTATAACCAAAGAATGTGTCCTGTATTCTATATATTAATGTTTACCTGTTTATAACCCAAGAATGTGTCCTGTATTCTATATATATTAATGTTTACCTGTTTATAACCCAAGAATGTGTCCTTTACTCTAGATACCAATGTTTACCTGCTTATAACCCAAGAATGTGTCTCGTATTCTAGATACCAATATTTACCTGTTTATAACCCAAGAATGTGTCCTGTACTCTAGATACCAATGTTTACTTGTTTATAACCCAAGAATGTGTCCTGTATTCTATATATTAATGTTTACCTGTTTATAACCCAAGAATGTGTCTCGTATTCTAGATACCAATATTTACCTGTTTATAACCCAAGAATGTGTCCTGTACTCTAGATACCAATGTTTACTTGTTTATAACCCAATAATGTGTCCTTTACTCTAGATACCAATGTTTACCTGTTTATAACCCAAGAATGTGTCACGTATTCTAGATATCAATATT